GAAGTACTCAATTTTACTTCAGTAAAAGCACAAATACTGAAGCAAAAAAACAACAACCAAACAAACAAAAAGTAAAGTATCACATAAAAAACATACTTAAGATACTTTTACTTAAGTATTAAAGTACCTGTTTCAAGGTTATATTTTATATTGCTGAATTTATGAACATGTTACGTGTTATAAACCCTCAGCCTTTTCAGCCGGTCTCAAATTATATTAAAAAATACTTTTCAGTGCAGCTAAAAAAGTAGTGGATTGGAAAAGTACAGATACCTTTTTTCAAACCTTTTCTTAAATTTTGAAGTAAAAGTAAATAAGTACCTACTTTAAAACGTACTTGCCTAAAATCAACTTTACCTTTTTATGTCAGAAATATCAGAACTTGTATAAAACCACAAGAATATTACAGTATTAATACAATAAAAAAAATACTTGAACAAAATATTTTTTGACCATAAACTGTAGTGTGTATATGAATGGACACAGCTAGTTACTGCATTTCAAAGAGCAAGTGTTCATAGGGGCATTTCCGGCTCCATCAACTGTTTCTGCTGCAGTGAGCCTCGTCATTTTTGTCTTAAAATGTTTGTATTAACCCTCTCTACATGATCCTGGTGTTATCATGTATTGCAATGATACTGCATAGAGTCTATAGCTACAAATCCCGCTTTTTTCCACCTTCACTGAAACAATTCGATAACATTACCTAAGCCAATCTATTCTCAGCCCTGACTTGGTTCTGTTCATCATTGAGTTTTCCACTAGCCTCATATCATGCAGCTAATGCCTGTAGTTTAGTTCTTTTGACACATCAATACAAAGCAGTTTGCCACTTACCTCTGAGCTGGTGCACACCTGCTTAAACCCTAAATAAGAAACACATTATCATCACATTACTCCAGGCCTCGGCAGTATTACACCACAGCACAGCATACATCTCTATCTGCGTCCACTTACAAAAGGTTATCTCGCATTTTGTTCAAACGTAAGCTGATAAATGTCCCGGTGACTCTCAATATTTCGGTAGAGGAGGCGCATTATTCATAGTTGGGGGCGGGCGGAGAGCAGGGCGCAGATGGGGAGCCCGGTCTCTTCCTGGCAGTGACATACGAGGACCAGATGAACACATGTGATAGATCTCCTCCACTTCTGGATGTCAACCAGCTCCGATCAGCACCAACAATGGGACCTAATGATGCGTGAGATGTTTTACACTGACCAGAGTGAACTGACCAATGTGTTCAATTCAGGCAATTTTCTTCTTGAAATTACACATTTGATTAAAAGATATTATGAGGTTTAAATTATTATTATTTTATTTTATTCCCATATTTTGCTAAATTGACTCTTGTGACCTTTAAAGTTGCTCTGCACAACTTTACTGACAGAGGGACCATCCCCTGTTTATTTCTAAAGATGTTATTGCTTTGGGTTGGAATGTTCTACTACAGTCTGACAATAAACTGATGTATCACCACAGAGAAATCACCAGGCAAAGTTACAGGTCGGATCTGTGTAAAGGTGACCCCACTAACGGTAAAAATGCATTTTAAAAGACCCATAATAAAATAAATGCTAGATAAATGTTTAGTGCTATACTGTTTAACATTCTAGGAAAAGCAATCATATCTGCATGGAGACAAGAATGCTATAAAAGGATTATCAGACGACGTCACTTCACGCTCTACTGCTCATGTCTGCTGCATCAAGTCCTGTCTGGTATCATGTCAGTGTTTTGTAGGATTTCTGCAGATTTCAGGCTCTCCGAGGAGCAGGGATAGTTGTATTGATCTGGTATGAGTGGATGTCCTGCTACCGCAATGTGAGCCATTTCTTCTCGTCATTTACGCACCCACCTGCATTTAACACATACGGGTCATTAAGATGTATCCCACTCACTAATGTTAGTTTAGCATCATAACTTATTTTATCACAGGGTGATAAACTGTTTTAGTGCGCTGACAACAGTGCTAGATAACATTGCAACTTCATGCTAACTGCACAGACAGCGGCGCTTTCTGCACTCAGGCTGCACGGGCATCTGCTGTGCTGATAAACAAATCATCTGTCTATAATGCTGTTACCTGATCAAAAACATAGTTGGAGTTTGGGTTTTGTTTTATTCATATATGTTTGACTAATCCTTTATTATATGTCGATCTGCATTTCCAAAGCTCAAAAATGTTCTGTTCCACCTTGTGATGTCATGAAGTAAGTTTTCTATTTAGCAGCTACATTTTACTTTCGTACTTTACGTTCAGTGGAGAAGGGCAGTTCCAAGGCTGAAATTATCCAAATGATTCTAGTGAAGGTGTATGGAGTTTTAAAAACACAGTGGAGCACTTCCTGTAATACCGCATGACATCACAAGATGGAACAGAGTGTTTCCTGTTTGACAAAAGGAAGACAAGCAATTCAACATGAAGCTAAATCTTAGCTGTCAATCCTTAGGCCTATTTTATTATTTGTGTCACTCATTAATTGAAGGAAATATTCAAACAACACATTTAAGATTTTTAAGTAGTCAGGATCTCATTTAAAATGTTTTAGACCAAACTTGGCACCACTTTGACAACTTCTCACTTCTGTGTTAATTGTGAGAGACAAATATAACAAAACTGTTCAAATGCTGCTCAGGCTAATTAGCTCTGACACATGTGTATGTGAAATCAGTTTGAAGATTTTTTTTTAACTTGCAAAACCAAATTAATTCTAACACTTACAAGTAATATCTGCTGATCAATCTCTGTTTGAACAATTTATGTGAATTTAGGATCAAAAGTATTGGTGCCAAGATACTAATGGAGACTAAAACTCCAGTGGTTATATGTGATCATCATTTGCAGTGTTAGAAGTACTCAATTTTGTTACTTCAGTAAAAGTACAGATATCGGAGCAAAAAAAAACAAAAACAAAAAAAAACACAAAAAAGCAGTATCATATAAAAAACTACATGAGATACTTTTACTTAAAAGCATTAAAGTACCTGTTTCAAGGTTATATTTTATTTTGCTGAATTTATGAATGTGTTATGTGTTATAAACCCTCAGCCTTTTCAGCCAGTCTCAAAATAGATTAAAATAATATTTATACTTTTCAGTCCAGCTAAAAAAGTAGTGGAGCAGAAAAGAAGAAAAATATTTTTTCAAACCTTTTCGCAAATTGTGAAGTTAAAGTAAAAAGTACCGACTTTAAAATGCATTTGCCAAAAATTTACTTTACAAATTTTAATCTTTTTATGTCAAAAATATCAGAACTTGCATAAGACCACAAGGGAATTACATTATTAATACAATAATTTTGTGTTGAAAATTACATTCTATTAAAATAATTCAATTACATTTTTTGGTTCATAGTATTAAAAAAAATTGTAAGGATAAAAAAAAATGTAATACAGTGCATGTTATATATGTATACAGACAAGACCGTCTGCTCAGATTCATGACTCTACACATAAATGAATAAATACAACATCCACTGTCAAACTCTGCAAACTCTTTTTCTCTTTTTTTTGTTGTTTTACACCATCAAGCATCAAACTTTTACTTAGTATTAAAATCAAGTATTTTTTTTGTGTTGTGAAAACACTAACTTAGAAAAACACACATTTAACTTCAAAGTTTTTAGATATGTTAGCTTGACCTGCGATCTCCCTCCCATAGCACACAGATGGGGCCGGTCAGGGACAGTGGAGGTAAGCTAACCCAGTGGCTGTAATTTAGCACAGACTGCAGGCTGTTGGCTTTGTTTGCCGTCTCTTCAGGACTGTGCTTTTTCCTCCGTGTTGACAGGCAACCATCTGCTGCGGAGCCCATCCCCTTCTCATATAACTTCTGTATTTACTCGCCCATCAGAGCTTTAGATTTGGGACCACGCACACACACAATACGATGGTCTGAGTCAAGTGTACGTTCAAATGGGAGCAGACAGTACACTCCAGAAGTTTGAGAAAGGTGTGAGGAATGCTTTAATAAAAACTGAATTTGATTTTTCTTTTATTTGACAGAAAGGTCAGCATGCACCAAGGACAAAAATAATAATGTGGTGTTGTGGGTCTAGACCAGTGCTGAATCCATGAAGGTTTTAGGGGATTACTTTGACAAAACAACTGAAGATAACAACTTTACTCAAGAAAGGATCATTCATTTCTATTGTCTACTGTTGTGTGTGAAAAAGAAAGATTTAGCCGTTTTGTCTTTTGTAGATCACAGTTAAGTCCAGGTCTAGGAAGTCAAGGAAGGCCACAGTCTATTGAGGTGTTTTGAGACTTGAAACTTTGTAAACTAGAGTTACAAGATTAATCATGATCAAATCAAAATCTCAATATTAATGGACGAAACTAGCAAATTGCAAAAGCTGTAATTTTGAAGTACCATAATTTTCTTCACAAACAAAATATCCTGTCTTATTCTCCATAGAACTGCTAACCCTGTAGATTAGATCTACAAACATACTATTCTGAAATGTGATTCTTGTATTTTGTCTTTTTGTCAGTTCTCTTGGATAAGAAATGCAAACTTTAAACCAAATCCTATTATATTAAATGCACACTTTCTTACAAGTACACTTCGACGTACAATCTGGTTTCCAAAGTAGATTTATCTGTAAATTTTTCCCTTAAACATTTCGAAAAATTCTAATATTAAGAGGATCACCAGCTACGTGGAAATTACTATCCATATCCATTTAAGTTTTAAGTTTAATAAAATTATATACAATAATAATCTGTTTACATTGAATTTTTTGTGCATCTAGCTGGAATTTGTACTCCAAAAAAGTTAAAATGCAGGATTCTACTAAATTCTTCAATAACACAGTGGTTTATAAAGTTTCAGAAACAGATTTTAGATAAAATTATAGGTCTTGTGCTCAATAGTCACCACGTTGCTGAGCTTATTTTTTTCTAAACTGACAACACTGATAGTACTTTATTCATCTCAAGTAATGACTAAATATTCCCAAATGTACTTGAAGCTGAAAAAAAAAAAAAACTATACAAAAACATTTAATAAAATATTTTATTCTGTACAAAAAGACGTTGACATCTGATGAGCATCACCTAGAAAAGTACAAAAAGTAGAGACCATTGTAAAGAATTAAAATAGCCCAAGTTGTCACTGTGCAATAAATAAAACTAAATTCTAGCTCTTTTAAATTTAGACTACATTTGTACAATACAGGTCCAATAGTAAGAACTTCCAATTGTTCTGCAAAGGGCTGCAAAGTAACTGCCCTGTTTTTCAAAAGGATATAAGAATAAGGATACAAAAGCTTCAGCAGGACCACATTATCAAGCCATGGCATCTTGAATAAATAAAGTGTAAACAAAATGCAAAAAGAAAACACCATTAAAATGATAAAAGTGTTATTTCCAGCCTTGAGGATTATTTGGCAGAAGCCCCACAGTTTCTCATTGTCATACTCACCTGGTTTAGCTCAGCGAGGCTTTCTCTTTGTGTCACTGTTGTCCTTTGGTTTGGCTGACCGGGCAAATTGCTGTCGGGTTAAGTTAAGGACTAATAAAGTTAAAGCATATTCACACATTAACAGAGAAACATACTTAATTTCTTTTCAACATATGCTTGGATCAGATATATGTGTTGCTGTGCATGATTAGTAGGTTTGACCATTCAGAGTGCAACTTCTGGTGGAGAGTATGCCACACTCTCGTCTCCAAAGAGATGTTATTGCCTTGTCTGGAATGTTCCACAGAACAGCATTAAGCATATCAGTCTCCATGGAGACAAGGATGCGATGCCACCAGGCCAAATTACGGGCCAGGCCAAGGTCAGATCTGTGGAGAGGTGACCCCACACAGTAAGAATGAATGCTTTTCAAGGTATTTTTCAACAATTCTGAAACACCTGTAACTGAATAATTGGAAGATAAATCAGTTCAGTGTCATACTGTGTGTGAAACAGAAGCAAAAATAATTATATTGTCACTGTTTAAATCCAGGCTCAAAACAGTTCTGTTTAGCAGCATATGACTGAAAGGTTTTCATTTTTCATTCTGCACTCTTCTAATTTATTGTCTCTCTTTTTAATTTTATGATGTTTATTTATGTTTTGATTCATTTGTATTGTGATTTTAATGTATTTCTTATTTTGTAAAGCACTTTGAATTACTTTGTGTACAAATTGTGCTATACAAATAAACTTGCATTGCCTACTGTCAAGAAGACAAGCAGAAAAGTTACAAAATGCTCCTTTAATTGAGTGGTGTCAAATTGGTAACTTTGATTGCGTCACATTCTATTTTCAGTGCATATAAATGAACAGTGAAGTATTTGACTTCATTTCTGCCTTTAGTGTGAGGGGAATTGGGCCTAAATACCAGCTATGCCTTTGAACCTACCGAAGGCCTAAATAATTCAATACAAAAACAAACCTGCACCTGGAATATTAAAGGGCCTATATTCTGCCATTTTCTGATCTATGTTATAATGTTGTTTCTTCATCAAAAACATACCTGGCAATACAGAAAACACTCTGTTGCACCTTGTGATGTCTTGTGCTAATACAGGAAGTGCTTTATACAACTTCACTAAAATCATTTGGAAGATTTTAACCCTGGAAATGCCCCTACTGAACAAAAGGTGGATCAAAAGGTGGAAGGTGGAGCAGAGTGCATTTAGAGCTTTGTTGATGTAGACAGATCAGGATTACTCTAACGTGTGAACGAAACAAAACACAACTCCAGGTAAGGTTTTGAGAAGATAACATGACTTTAACTTCACAGTTTTCCTGTAATATATGGCCTTTAATTATTCAAAAAGCATGCTAAATAAACTGTTATGATTGAAGGCAGAAATAAAAACAATGAGCTGCCAGAACTTCTTCATATCCTTCATTCAAACGATGCCCTTCAGGTCATAACTCACAATCTCCTTAGCTCAGTCTCCAAGTCCGCTAATTCCTCTGTGGACATTCAAACCAAGCTCCTGTATTATTATGCTAACCCCGGTGTATATTGCACAAAACCTCAAGTACAGCCACGGGCATCTTTCTCTCCTCTCAGGCAATAGCTCCAAGCCACTGGGACCGTCTTTCCTCTGACACTCACTGCTTCATATGAATTTAATTTGAGAAAAGGTCGCAGCTGCTCCCTCTTAAATGCCAGAAGACTAGTGGCCAAAAAAAAAAAAAAAAAAAGGAAAAAAAAAAAATCGGACCTCATAGACGCTTGGCTCCGTCTGAAGTTCACTCATTTTCCAGTGACAGCCCCTCGTCTAGTGCCATTCAGGAAAACAGAGGAGATGATTGGCTGTGGATAGGTCAAAGATCAGCGCGGAGCCAGATGTGGAGGGGGTGCTGTGTGGGGTAATAAAATTTTAAGTAGTCCACTTCCGTCCACTAATTTGTGCACTAGACTGAGAGGATTCGCCCAAAATGCTGCAGTCTCACATCAGCACTAAAATAATCATTAAAAAGGGACACGAACTGGGAGCCACTGTCCTCTGACTAGGACGCCGTTACCTCAGTGAACTTTAGAGAATCTACTTTATCTATTACATCACTGCTATTCAATATAAATAAATCCATTTCAATGAATTTAAAGAGAGGTTCTATGGGGCATTAACTGCTTAGACATATTTAGATCATCATGTTTCTTTATGTTGTTTTGAAAATGCTATAATCGCCAAAAATGACACATGTTTAATAAGTTTTGCTTTCATTTCTGATGCTCTCAGTCTCTTCTCCTTTTGCTCTCGACATTAAGTCACTCCCCCTTCAGAGCGCTATCACAACATAACCAGCGTGCATCCTGCTAATGAAACTACTGAGCACTTCATCAGGTTTAAGTTGTTGTATAATTGTATTTTTGTATATTTATGGAGAATTGTTGTGTGGGAGCATGGATGACACAGGCTTGTGGGCTGAGCATTGCACGGAATCTTACTGCTGAATGTTTTTGATGAATGAAGAACATGGAGGATTTTTAATTATTATAATACCCATAATACCCCCTCTTTAAATAAAGCGGTGTTATTTTTCCTTTTTATTCCCAGTAAATATATATTGTGTTGATTTTAACTGCGTGCACATTTTCCCCATTTTATTTTATATAGCACTTTTCCATCTTCAAGGCACTCAAAACGTTTTACAGGAACTGCTCATTGAGGAGGGTTAAGCGTCTTGCCCAAGAACACAACAACAGTACTGGAGCTGGCACCGCATCGCCAACCTCCGGATCAGCGGACAAACACTCTACCAACTAAGCTACTGTCTACACTCCATCTGCCGACATAACAAGTGAATTTCCCCCCTGTGAAACCAACAGATTTCTAGCTTATCTTTCAGCTGTTAAATGTTGTGTAAAGTTAACTTGGGTAGCTCCTTTTCTGCAGTTTCAACATAAACTTTTTCACATTGGCTATATCTGATGCTACTGGGAATTGAAAGAGAATCTGGTCAGTTTTCGCTGGCAGAAATAAATCTTTGCTTGTTCATTTAAAAGTTGGAGACAGAGCCAAGTGTGCATGTGTGAAGAATAGGCTTGTTTGCTATAAAATAAACCTGATTATATTCTCAATTATGCATGCTTTACAGCGTTAATTATGCTTAAATAACTAATGACTACAATGTCAACCTGTACTTAGCAGCATTTACAGTAGATGAAGAAAACTCAATGTATTGGTACTGGTTATAATATCTTGATAAAATTTAAAAGGCACCAGTAATTTCAATATGGCAATGAACATATCCATTTTGCCTTTATTCAATTATACCTGTTATATTATTTAACCATCCTATATTACACAAAACTGACTCTTATGAGCTTTAAGTCATGTTATAAAATTGTTACCTCCTCGAAAACATGCCTGGAGTTGTGTTTTGTTTCATTCAAACATTATTAGTGTGTACATCTCCAAAGCTCAAAATGCTCTGTTCCACCTTGTGATGTCATGTAGTGGTAGTATTCAAGTTAACAGCTACCCTTTACCAAAGCCAGATTGTTCATATGGGCCAGTGGCACCAAGCATTCACAACCAGCAGAGGGGTAACATGTGACACAAACTTTAAAAACATTTTTTATATATATTTGATATTCACTTGAAAATGTTAAATGGCCATACATACCTCGTGAATTGAGACATTTGAATATGCCTGTATGTACTGTATATAGATGGATACTGTTTGAATTGATACACATTTTGAACAGAGACATTTAAATACGCCTTGATAGTGTATATAGTTGGATGTTGTTAAGTTGTTGAGAATTTTTAATTGAGACATGCCTACATGTTTATAGTTGGATGCTGAAAGTTATTTTAATCTTATTTGCTGGGCTGATGTGGTTAGTAAATTACATATGAGAAATGCCCGTGAGGGTGGGTTCACTAGAGAGTGGCAATAAAAGGGCTGAAATCATCCAGTGATTCTACTGGAGGTGTATGGAGTGTTTTCAGTTTGAAAATAACTCCTAAATATGCAGGCGTTGTACGTTACACGTGTGAATGGAACAAAATACAATTTCAGGTCTGTTTATGATGAGGAAAGAACATTATAACATAGTTCAGGAAATAGCGCAACATGTGCCCTTTAAAAAAATCCTTCTTACTGTAAGCAGGTCGCCTCAACGCAGACATTCTGTGGGATATACAGACACATAATGTACCTTTAAAGCAGATAGTGTTCTAGTTGTAAATCTATCATTTTTTTTAATTTAAATTTTTATTACGTCTCCCCTATTGCTCAGTGTTTAGAGGCTTTTGAATGATTATAAGGTAAAGTAAGTATTTAGGACACAAGTGTTAATGCTTCATCTTTACTTTGTTGTCTTTTTCACAGTATTTTCTCTAAACCACAGAGCCCGTTAAACATATATCTTTCTTTAGGAACCCTGTAACTGAAATCCCTGGCCTTGTTTCATCTTTCCACAGGTACAGAAGGATACAACAACAAGAGGTTTGTCATAGAGCACGTATCCGTTGGTGTCCCGCAGGGCTCTCTGTGCACTGGCCTCACTGGGGAGCCCCACGAAGGCCTGCCCTTTCATCCGCCCCTCCTTCATTAACACGATGTCGAACCTGGGGCAGAACCACAGCAAAGGCACACATCATTATCACTGCGGGCCGGTAGCACAGGGGCACCCAGGATCACACAGAGGCCATTAGGCATTTCAGATAGTGACAAAGTATGGGTTAGTGGGAGTAGACGATGAGAGAATGAAGCAATATTGTCTAAAATATGAGAAGAGTGGAGTAAAAATTAGAGAAAACAGAAAAATACTGAGAAAATAGGAAAAAGATAGAGATCTCTTAAATCTCCACCACAGGTTGATATTTTGCTTTGGTCGAAAAATACACACAAGGCTTTATTTTAACATTTCAATACAAAAGATACAACTGCACAAAGTGAGACTACACAGTTTTCTTAAAGGTTTGTGGTTAAAAAAAAGGGCTGCGGATGAGTTTGTTGTCAAAGTCGGTCTTCGGTAGAGTATTTTTTTGTATTTTTAGTTCTTTAGTAAAGGGGTAGAAGGTGGAAGGTGGACAGTCAACTGCATGATTCCACTGAAATTGTTCAAACGATACTAAGGAACATTTTCCAAGGAAATAAATACTGTACATTCCAATACTGTGTAATATTATATCTAAAGGAAAAACATTTTCATGGAAACATTTTTCATGGAGAAGGGCCTCTTTCAGACCAAATAAGTCAGGTTTGTGGAGATGCAAGTTCACTCACCGTAAGGAGGCAGGTCTTTCTACATTTTTATGTGCAATAAAAGCATCCATATTGAAAAAAGATGCTTTATCAGTATAATTTGTTTATATTGTGCACTGATTTGCTTTGTGCGATTTGGACCAGATCATTGGACAACCCTTAAAAGCACACTTAGTACAAATCAATATGAATAACAGTTAATAAATGTTTCTTTACTAGTTACAAAACGTGTTAAATTTCTCCCTCTCCATTCACAGCTTCCTGTCTCTTTGCCACTCCTGAGTTGGAAGAAAGCCTCACAAAGCTCAGACCAAACTGCTTTTAACCAGGACAATGTGTTTGTCTGACAGTAGCACCTCTCTGTCTGCCACCCACACGGCCGCTCAGACTCTGTCTCCTGAACATACGCTGTGTGATGAGTCAGGACCAGACTCATTTGAAGTGCTGCTGATGCACAAACACAAAACCTCCCTCATGAGCTCCACGTCACGTTAGATTCTTATTAATATCCCAACGTGCAGTCAGCATGAATTACCTAGAATCCCCAGGAGGCAGGGACAAATTGCCAGAGTTAGAAATAGCTGGTGAAGACATAAAGTGGAGTGGCACGCAGTGTGTGACAATGTTCAGTGCTAGAAAGAAACTGTATCTAAAATGTGACTGGGGAGAATACATGGTTTGTGGATAGGGCTAAATCATGCTGTTTTTGTAGTATTATGCATTATCAATATTGGAAATTTTAAATTAATCATTGGATTTATATACTCCGTACTCAGTGGTGGTAAGCTCTGGGGCAGATGGACTGAAGCAAGACTGCCAATCTGCACCATAGGCCGCTCCAACCAGCACTACCATCACACACACACACGCACACCTCATTCATACTCGGCAATGTGGGTGAAGTGTCTTGCCTATAGGACACAACAACAGTTTTGACCACTGGCGGCTTAGTCAGGCTGGCGCCACCTAGTGTCTCTGCTCAATTTAATTTCTCTCCAGCAACTAGGTCAGGAATCAGAATACACTAGACAGTTTGCAAGAACCCCAGAATTGAGAGTTTGGGACCGGCCAATCAGCAAAGAGCCATACATTCTGTGCTGGCATCGATTCCTGAGATCGAGGATTAAAAGTCAGAACAAAATAATGTTTGGTGAATTTTATCAAGGGGAACGTTGTTATTGCCCTTCTTCCTACGGGATTTGGAAAAAGCTCAATATACCAGTGAGCCCTGTTAGCGGCACATTGCAAACGTCATGACCAATTAGCAGCAATTGGTTAAATTTAAAAAAGTACCAGCCTACAGTCGAGGGAATGAATCCTAATGCTGCAAGGTCAGATGATTTCCACAAAGTGAAACTGGCTGATGAATCAGGCTACTGGCGGCCCACTGTGGCACCTGGAATTCCCAGCATTCTCCAATTCAAGTACTAAACAGGCTCCTTGCTCAGCTTCTGAGATCTGATGAAATTACGGTAGGCTTTGACAAGTGGGTATGGCCCCAAAATGCAAAATCCATCCAAATAAGATGATTCACCTCTCATTTAAATCTAAATGCAACCTTTGGTTAGTCTCTGGTAAGTTCTGGTTGGCCCTATTTTAGACCATTAACTGAGCACTGAGCATTGCAAACACTATTTTGTATCAAAGTATGTCTACATATAGTAAAGCAAGAGAAATGGTATCCAGCCAACCAACTATTGACCAAAATCGACCGTCCACCAGTCCAGTTAGTAAATATATTCCTTTACACTTGAGACACCTATCCAAGCAAACCTTATTTTCAATGAATTTATAGTACTGTATGCACATTTACATTATGGGGGGGAATCAAATTAACTTACATGTTTCTCTCAGCTTCAGATGAAAGATCGATATACCTCCCATAGATGTACTTGAGATCCTACAACACAAACATTGACTTTCTCCACACTTTAAAGAAACTTGTTTTTTTTTTTAGAATTGGGTCAAACAGCATCAATGCTCCAACCTTCTCCTCCACTTGTTTGGCGATGTTCTTCACGTACAGTCTGCACGTCGGCTCGCCAGGTTCATAATTTTTAAACACAGACATCCTTTTTATCTCTGTTTTAAAAGAAGAGGGATGGAGAGAGGGAAAGAGGGAAAATAAAGCAGGGTGCATTTAAAAACAGGTACAAAGGCTTCCACAACTGGCTATACATACATAAAGAGAAATTCAAAGTTAATCTGAGTATATGACTGCTTTGTGTTTTATTTAAAGGGCCCTTATTATACTATTTTCTGATCTATGTCAAAATGTTGTTCCCTCAGCAAAAACATGGAATTGTGTTTTGTTTCATTCACATGTTTAACACACAAATCCTGCATATTTAGGGTGAGCTCTTCTCTCAAATGGAAAACACTATGTTCCACAGTTGATGTCATGTGGTAATATAGGAAGTGCTTCACTGGGTTTTAAAACTCCGTACACCTTCACTAGAATCATTTGGATAATTTCTGTCCTGGAATTGCCAATGTCTACTGAAGTAAATGTAAAAGGAGCTGTTAACATGAAAACTAACACTTCATCATAACATCACAAGCTGAAACAGAGCTTTGGAGATGTAGAAAGCTTAATAATAAAGAGTTACTCAAACATGTGAATGGAACAAAACACAACTCCAGGTATGTTTTTGAGGAGGTAACAACATTATAACATGCCTTAAAGCTCACCCGAGGCAGATTTGTGCAATATAGGACCTTTAACTGTCAAAAGTGAACATTTTTACAACATTTCATGAGTTGTTATACATGCACACTGCTATTGTAATTTGGTATGCACTTGTTATCTTTTTAAATGTGTTTATGCAGTGGCATCCTATTTTCATTGCTCGCATGCCCGCACTAACTGCCAGTTTTTCCCAATATGCATTTCAAAGACTGTTGTGCTTGTACCTTTTTTTCCTCATTGCAGCAGAGGAGAAAGGGATTTGTTTTGGAGACAATGTACTGTATGTGCTGGGAGTGCCAATGCTTTCCTAACCTGTTAGCCTCTATTTATAGCATCACAAGTGAACAGTAAGTGCGCAGTGTAAAAGTTTTGATCCTGAGCCCGAGGGGGTGGGAAAGGCATGCATGTTAATAGGCCACAGAGTCAGGGTCCTTGATTTAAACATCTTAAAAGTTTGTGCCTTAATTGGAAACACTGGTTTACGGGTGAACTGTTGTACTTACAAATGTTTGACTGTCAGTAGTGATTTTTGGATTGAATGTTATTATATCATACCCTGAGATAAGCAGAAAGAACAAGTTTTCCCTATTCATTACATGGAAGTCTCATTAAGGCTGTGTGATTAATCAACAATTTAAAATCAAGATTCTGTCATTTCTAATTGTCAGTATTAGGGGTGTGCAAAAATATCGAAATATCATATCATTTAGTGTCATGATACAGTATCAATATCATTGGCTGCTGTATCAATACATCACCAAGAGTATTTTTGGTACATTTTTTTGTAATTTTTTTTGCAATTTTGGTAAATTATTTTGTTACAGTGCTACAGTTTTGTTGTTTGTTCAGAGGAAGGAAATTCGTTTATTCAACAAATTTCACATATTCACTGTTTTGATTATTAAAATGTTTGTTAAACCACTTCTTGTGCAAAGTTCATATGAAACACAAAGACTTTTAGTATCACAGCCATGATTTAGCCATTATTTTTTACTGAACCGTCTCGAATCAATTTGAAATATATCGTATCGTATCGAAAGCTCACTGTATCGAGATATGTATCGTATCGAGACATTTGTATCAAGGTATGTATCGGCAACTTCTTAATGATACCAAGCCCTACTCAGTATGCTTCAGTCTTTTTAATAAAAATGTATTCATTTAAAATTTGGAGGAAGAAATTTTTATGTTAAATGTCAACGTTTGTATTATTTATTTCCGGAATAATATACTGAAGCACATTTTATTTGTTGTTAAAGTTAGAGTTAGAACCAGCTATATTACAACAAAAAAAAAGCATTTTATCAATATGAACGTTTACCTACGCCCATCTCTATTAAAGTATATTGGTCAATAGAATGCCGATATGCCAGCTGAAGCCATTTAGAATCCAGACTTCATATTCCTTTAAGTGGCGTGTTTTTGAAATACTTACCATCTCTGGATAATCGTCCTTTCTCCAGTTCCCTTCTGGATATGACATCTTTGGGTATGTCCTCATCTTCACTGTCTTCTTCTTGTGTTTCAGTTGGCACTACGCTGGGGAAGAGCTTTCCAAATCCTTCGATCACCTCAACTACCTCCTGCATTCTCCGGGGGGCCTCTACCTCCTCTTCTAAAAGGGCACAAGCATAAGGAGAGGAAGAGTATTAAAATCAATGGAGGAAATAAGAACACCAACTAAACACAATATGTACTTTTGGGTTACTGTCAGATGATATTTTGTATTCAGTGATATTAAAAGCATAGTCAAGTACAGTAAACATTCAATTTAGATAGATTAGGACCATTTATTCATCTCGGAAACAGGAGATAGCAGTGCTGCAATGAAAAAGTAAAACAAGTGCAGCTATAGAATAAGAATGCCAATTAAAACTATTCGAGCTAAATAATAAAATGGCTCTCATTATAACAATACACTTACAGATTTCAACTAAAAATATTAAGAACCCACCACGCATGAAAATCAGAAATACATCGCAAAAAATCATTGCACTATAACACTGTATAAGTTTCAAAGTGGGGATTTCAGATTAAATTACCAGTATGCAAAGAAGAATACACTAATGGTTGGTTAAGGTGTAACTGCTTATTTCTCACAATGGTAACCCCCGTAAAATAAAGTTACCCCGTATACATCAACCTATCAAAACATGAGTCTCTTCATCTGCTGCCATGTTAACTACAGCGTGTAGCTCAGTGCTTCTTAAGTGGAAAAGCATATTTTTCACCCGTCTGCATCTAAACAGGTGGAATTATTTAAATATTGCGTAGCAGATGGCTGAATAATCACTTGCACATTGTTTATCCTCTTCAGTAAACCAAGGCGGCTCAGGGAGGAAAGTGGAGGCAAATCCGCTCTGTCACATCAGCTTTAGTTTGAGATATTGATGCTTATGGCTTTATAGAATCTTATATACAGACTAGAGCTTGTTTGGTACGACGTACAGGACTGCTAGTGACATATATGAATTATTAAGAGTGAATAGAACATTTTCATCCAAAAAATTGTATGTATTGTAGGGTCATCCTTGTGGCAAATGTAAATTTTGTTATGACCAAATGATTATGATAAAAAAATTTAAAAAGTTATGAAGTCTGTGCATGTGGGAGCAACTAATTGATATTCTGTGCATTGCTGTCCTCTTTTTCTTTCTTTTTAATTAATAAATTTTTAATGATTATATTAAACATTATATTTAAAGTAACTGAATGTAGCCTGTGCTCCTACTGTTTTATACAGTGCATTACAATCACAATTGAACCTGGGTTGCCAGTATTCACAGAGCTGCACAGGCTGCACTAGCACTGATTCATGATTGGCAGAAGGCGAGGCTCGAGGTCAGGGAAAGTCCTTTTAGGTTCAAACCAACAGGACTTATACTGACAACCCAGATAAGGCATGTGAGGCTCATTCTGCTTTCTGATTGGATAATCATCTTAACATATGATGTTACCAATCATCTTACCATAAATATGGGTCATTATGCCCCATGTTTTTGTAGTTAAGACAAAAATCAGCATTCAAATTGTTATCAGTAGGCAGTCACTGGCAGGCACATTTATAAAATGCTAAATCAAAATCTTACATGGATCCTTCAATATATTTTTCACATTGTTTACTGTTATTTAGTTATGCAATCAAATGACATGCATATTAAAGCACTACTACAGTAGACAATTATCCATTCACTCTCCATTCTCCACACCTGATATTAGTGAGTAAAAAGTAGTAGATAACTTGAAAACTACTACTTCATAACATCACAAGGAGGAACAGAGTATTATGAGCTTGGGAGATGTAGACAAACTAATAATAAAGGATTATTCAAACATAGCACAACTCATTTTACATTTGTTGGCTACTTAAACCTTACGTAATACATATAAAGACACATTTTAGCACATTTCTGTTGGATTGCTAAAATGTCTACCTATTGTTACTATTGGGACACATACAAAAAAAAAAGAGATGTTATTTTTGTCAATATCAGCCACCCTTACTTTCTAGTGCGAGTGAATGACTTGGATAGACTTGGGAATTGCCAATCCATGCCTCTGCACACATTGTCAGAGGAATTACGAGAAGCAGTGAGCCTGTTCAAATCCACAAAACCAGGGTAGAAGAAAAGACTTGTCATCCCCATAAGGTGTGTGTGTGGCTACCCGCTGGAGCAAGAAGAAGGCTTTCTGATACAGTCTCAACACAGAACTAGATCACTGGTTTCAGGAATTATCCTGTTCCCTTATCTGTCGCTACTTCCCTTTTCATTTAAATAGCTTGTTTATCAGACTTCCCACCCCAAAACAAGACTAATCCAAAAAGCTACCTGTCATAGTTTATCTCTCCCTTGGCTTCACGAAATCGTTTGTGTGTGTGACTTTGAGATCTATTTTACTACTCCAGGTTTTGCAGCAGAGCAAAGTTGGAAGCAAGGGAGAAGGGAGATAAGGCATATAGGCTATACAGCTGACGAGGAACATGGTCCCTGCTCCCGTGACATCTCTTCATACAGATAATGGTGCAGGTTTTTGATGGTAGTCTTGTCACGATAACAAATTTTGAAGTGCGATTTATTTCTGAAGTAAATATGGAAGATAAACGATAATACTGAAACAAATTTATGACACTGACAGAAAAACCCAAGAGCAGATTTAACCCACAAAAACTATTCTAAACATACAATATTGTTAAAAAACGTAAGCTGCAATAGATAAGTAGGAGAATTCATTATTTTAGTATTTAGTTTGCACCTATGATGAGTCAGAAGGTATTCAACCAAAGAAAATGTACACACAATAAATATTAACAACCAAAACATATTGTAGCCTATTTGATAGCAAGTTGTGCTCGAATAGAACGGAGACACAATTAGGAGTGTGCAAAAATATCAAAATATCTATATATTGTATTGTCTAATGTGAGGATAACGTACCAATATCATGGGCTGCTGTATCAGTATCGCCGAGAGTATTTTTTTGTGTATTTTACTAAATTATTTTGTTACAGCGCTGCAGTTTTGTTCCTTGTTTAGAGGAAGAAAACTTATTTATGGAACAAATTTGACATTTTCTCTGTTTTGAGGATTAAAATGTTTGTTAAACCACTTCTTGTGCATAGTTAATATAAAACACAAAGATTTTTAGTATCACAGCCATGATTTAGCTTTTATTTATTTTTTGAACCATATCAAATCGATTTGAAATATATCGTATCAAATCATATCAAATCAAAAGCTCACTGTATCGAGATATGTATCGTATCGTGGCCTGATATCGTATCATCGTATGTATCGTATCCACAACTTCTTAATGATACCTAGCCCTTGTCACAATACAAACATTTTGAACTGGATTCTGATAAAAAGGAAAATACTTGTAAATACTACCTGATATCAATTTAGATACCACAATAATAAACACTTTTATTTAGACAATGGGTTGGAAGAAAAGTTACATAGTACACCTTTAAAGAGGGGTATCGCAAAATCAACTTTTTGGAGCTTGCTACCATGTTTTAATATGTTGTTCCTTTATCAAAAACATGTCTGAAGTGATTTTATATGTCAACCATGCATGTTTGAGTAATATAGCAATCTCTTCCAGGCACTACTCAAACCCTCCTTGCAGTAGTTAGTTAGCAGTTAGTAAATATACATAGCAAAACAATACACTACAACTTCTCAAACCTGATTCAATGTGCAGTAGTTTCATTGTGTTGTGTTGCGATTGCACTCTGGAGGGGGAGTGATTTAGCACAGGGAGCAAGGGGAGGAGGGTCTCAAAGCATCAAAAATGAAACTTGAAACAAATTACAAATAATATGTTTCTGTATTTCTTCAACAAATATAGAAACGGTACCATCTAATATCGATTTAAATGTGGTGCATGTTCAATACTCCATCTTTAAAAGTACAATAAGTTGCTTCCTTAACTTTCTCTTAAACCTTTACAGCAAAACTTACGAAGGTGAATCTTTCGATCTTTCATTTCAGTGTAGAACTATACTCACCACTGGGTATTGCGGTATGTTTGAAAAGCCATTGCCTTCAATAAAACTTCAAATTGAGCTTAAAAAAACAGTGTGGTGAGGCGGTAAAGTTTATGTATCATAGACTTGCAACAGACTACATTTAACATTGAAAATCTTTAGAACTGAATCTCTCCCAATAAAAAATTTAAAGAAAAGAAATTTGGTTGTGCAAGAAATCTGCGTGTTAATGGTGCACTGTGTAACTTCTCAGCTTGGGGATTTGGCACCATGGAGATGCTACTGCTTTGCTGGTAATGTTCCACAATTTGGTATTCAACTTATACAAGATTAATTTCTTAGATTATGGGTGTTTTTATTGCTGAAAAATACCTTTAAAAACAGATATTCTGACTGAGTGGAGCCGGCTTTTCATAGATCTCACCTGTAAATTGCAATGGCAGCGTCTCCTACTTGTTTCTATGGAGACTGAAAAGTTTAATACCATATTTTAAAATATTGGAGGTAAGGCAATAACATCTCCGGGCATTCTACCAGAAAAGTGACACACTGCACCTTTAAAAGCAATGCAAAATATCATGTTTTAGTGCCATGAAGTGTTATTTCTGTGAATTTTGGGATTGTAAGAGTAGGGTAGAAGAGGTTAAAAATGTCTTATATTTCTGTTTACATTCAATAACAGTGCAGTGTAACCTATGAACCTGTGAATGCAGTGATCTTGTTACCTCTTTGTTCACTCTGAGACTCCACACCTGGACCAGCCGCCTCCACTTTTGTCTCCGTAACCGAAATGTGGAACTCGATTTTCTTGGGACCAGTCGGATGAGGCTGCTCAAACACATCTGACGGCTGCAGAACTGGGGCACTTAGGGCAAAAAAAACAAAACAAAAATCAAACATCATGTCCCCAGATATTTCATTCTGGTCTAGCGTTGTTACAATACTTACATTTCAAACTTGACTGTGACACAAAAGAAAAGGTATGGCCCTCAATGTTGATCATAACACCACAGTGAAATATATTATTAGTAGTTTTACTCTGAACTTTGAGCCTTTGCTCTTGTTTTCGAATGTGGCATTAAACTACAAATGAAAAATAACTGACCTTTAATATTACCATGTGGCGCTATGTTGGTTCCAATTGATCATTCAAAGAGCATTCTAAAATTATCCATGTTCGTCCCATTTCTGTGTTGTTACTTTTTTGTTCAATATCAAAACCTGCTAAAAACAATATCCAGCTTCAATATAAGTTTTTCGTAGATGATGTATGGATCGATTTTTAAAGATCCTATATTCTGTGAAATTGACTCTTGTGAGCTTTAAGCCATGTTATAATGTTGCCTCCTCAAAAACATATCCAGAGTTGTGTTTTATTTCATTCTGACACTATTGAGTACTGGTAATCCTTTATTATTAGTCTGTCTACATCTCCAAAGCTCAAAATGCTCTGTCATGTAGCAGTAGTTTCCAAGTTAACAGCTACTTTTTACATTTTGTTCAGTACAGATTGGGAAGTACAAGGCTGAAATTATCCAAATGATTCTAGTGAAATTGCATGTTTTGCATGTGAGTTTAAAAACATAGTGGAGCACTTCCTGACAACACGAGGTGGAACAGTGTTTTCCGGTTGAGAGAAAAACTGCATGGAGGCAGGTTTGTGTGTCAAACATGTTAAGAATGAAACAAAACACTACTCCAACTATGTTTTTCTTGAGAAAACAACGTAATAACATCAGAAAATAGCGTAATATTGTCACTTTGAAAAAAAAATGTCAACAGAACACAAGATTTCCCAGTAAATTCACCTACACACAAATCAGGCGAGACTACGTATATTTATACTCTGGAAGTTATGTGGTCTGTCATTAAGGTGTAACAAACACTCCCAAAGGCTCAAACGCACATCTTAAAGGGAGAACATTTACTGTCTAGAGATTGGCGTTCCCTTTTTAGATGCCGGTGAATGCTGTGTGGAGATGAGCGCAGTGACATGCCTGACTGGCCCTGCTGTACCTCTGGGAGTCTGCTTTAGGAGCGAAGAGGAGATCCTTGATCCGGGGCTTCTTTCGTTTGGAGGATGTCTTTTGTCTCTGCGGTCTCTTGTACGCTTGGTTGACCAGGCCCATCACTCGTGCGATCCTGAAATAGCACAGAGAAATTGATAAAGTGGAAAATGATTAGCTGATTAGAGAGATGCAGTGTTAAATTTGACATAATCAGGCATAATACAGTTTAGTAACAATGCACGAGTTTCGATTAATAATAATGTATGGGGCCGATTAGGGGTGGAGATAACAAAAATGAATACTTTAATACTGTATATGTACTTTTATACTTTACTTATACTGAGTGTTTTTCTTTTTTTTAAACAAAACATAAATAATTAGACATATATATGTAAATATAAGGCCATCAGAAAATATAATTGGGGTGTCACGATATCCAAATCTCACGATACGATATCGTCACGGTATGAACCTCACGGTACGATATTTATTGCGGCATTGTGGGAAAGCTCACGATATGGGGGAGGCTCATGATTATGGATGTAACAATATCCAAATCTCTCTGTACAATATTTTCACAATATACATTTCACGGTACAACATTTATAGAGATATTCTGTGAAGGCTAACAAAACGGTCAATATGCTACTTGCTGCTTAAAATGCCTTGACAAGATTTAATCCAAAGAATTAAGATCTAAAAGTGCTTAGAACTGTTATTTCTGCATGTAGTCTGCACTGAAATGGAGCAAAGGATCATGGTCTATGTAGTTCCCTCTGTCTTTTTTTAACTATTGCTGCACCATAACTCTTAATTTAAGCAAAGCGATTCGATATATTGTGATGGTCCACAATATTATTGTGAGAACGTTGACGATACAATATCGCAATATTACGCTTATTGTTACATCCCTAATATATAAGGACCTGGTATTGGTTATCTTAATGGTACTACCTAACTTTTCTCATGGAGGGTCTACTATGCCTATTTGTCTCCATGGAGAGGTTACTGCTTTGACTGAAATATTCCACAGTGTCTCAGTGAACTTATCTATCTCATGGAGACAAGCAGGTGATACTACCAGCCCAAGTTATGTTTTTCGACACCTGTAATTCAATATACGCAAAATGGACAGAGACAACCACATGGCAGAGACTCCACCAGAAAAGTTACATAGTGCACCTTTAATTATCTAAACTATGTATATGCATGAAGTCTCTATTATTTTTCTTCTCAAATTTAAATCAAGACAAGTTATATTATCTTATCCAAGGACCTTACCTCACACATGCCTCTTCCTGTCTCTATTCTACTCATACCACCTGCTCTCCTCCGCTCTGTTTCCTCATTTACCCTCCTGCCCTCCCTTCTTTTCCATTTCTTATTCCTTCTATCTTACAGGTATAGGGGGGATTCAAACCCTGAGAGCTGATCACCCCCTTGAAACCTCACAACCGGATTTCAGTTCATCTACAAAAATCATTGTTTTCGTGCGTAATAAATTCATATTGTTTGCACCACATTTCAAGGTTGTGATCTTGCTAGCGAAAGTTGTTTATTTGAGAAAGTTTTGTTGACAGTATCATTATGCTCTTGGCTGCTCGGCTCACCTCTCCTTATCTTCATCATCTTCGCTCTCGTACTCCGACTCCGCGCTGGACCCCTCCTGTCGAGGTAGAGGGGGGTTTTCAGGGGGAAATATGGGAAAAGCTGGGGCAAAAACTTCATACTGAAAGGAGAAGATCAAAAGAGTTGTATTATTCAGGAACAATCAGCTTTATATTACAAGTCACATTACACCAAAATGCTGACCATGCCTGTCTAAAAAGTACATCAGTAAATACAATGTAAAAATGTTTGGTTGCTATCTTAATTCAGTTCAATGCAGGCTTGAGATATTTTATTTATTTCTAAACTATAGCAAAGACACTTCATAAACTGCTCGCCAACTGTTATCTTCGTAATTAAAAAATGCTTTAGAATGCTTTCAGACTTGTCTTGGTCTGGTTCTGGTTTGTGCCTAGTTAAGTTTAGATGTAGACCTAGTTTGGACCTGCTTTAGTCCTGATTTTGTGCTACTGTAGCCCAGGTTTAGCTCTAGGATTAGTCCATGTTTAGTCCCAAATTTGTCTGAAAGTTGTGTGAAAAAACAGAAATTGATACTCAGATACTAATGCAAACTAAAACTAGAATAGAAACTACATACTCATTTGAGCCAAGTATATACTGAACAAACAAATGACATAAATAAGCAGTTACAGGACCAAACTGAACTTTTCTTAAATAGTTTTACAATAATCTTGATCTATATTAGAAGCAGTGCTACACAACATGATGATATTAGAAACTATCCTTCTAAAGTTTTATTTTTTACTATTGCTGCAATAACACAATCTGTATCAAGCATGTTTTTAGATCAGAGTTCACAATTTTGTTTTGTGACTACACGAGCATATGCTTTGAGTTTGGACCAAGGACATAAGCTGTACTTACCGTAGGTGGTCTGGCTGTGACTGGGCCAAAAGGACACGGTAAATTCATTTTATTCATCAGATGGAGAACCTGTGCAGTGGAGAAATAATAATATAATAATAGAATCTGAAAATCCAAACTCAAACATGCTGCTTGAACTCTGCGACCATATGTGAAACAGATTGCCATCCGAATGCATTTGAATTTAAAACGGGAGCTTTAACGCAAGATTGAGAAAGGTGAAAAAGTGGTAAAACTCTATACAGATTCTATACAGCTCAATAGCACCACCAAGAGGACAGAATGGGGAAAAATCATCGGTGAAAATCCAGGCTTCAGTGCTCTCAGGGAAATGTTAAGCCCATAACTCATGCCTCCCACTTATGGTTTATTATTAATACTTTCTTAGCGCCCCAAATTGAAATTTAAAAGGCAAATGTTTACTGTTTGATCTTGCTAAGGTTGGATGCAGTTCAAACTCCCCCTGGGACATTTACCACGGTAATGTTTTTTCAAGTTACAATATAAAAAGTGTGGATTTGAAAGGCTCATGCAAATCTGCACGTGTTCTACAAATTCCCTTTTCACACAATTCGAATAAGAAGAAGGTATGAATGTAAATACGAGCATGGATGGCCTGAATTTACATGTCAAAGAGAAGCATTGTATAGCTGCGGAGGAACCATAGACTGTGTAAAGAAGTGGACTAATGAAGTGTGACGTCGCCCATAGCTCAGAATGCTAGCGGTTATATAGTAAATTTGAAGCCAAGTTCCATATTACGAGTAGGAATTTATGAATGGACAAAATGGCAAAAATGAAACCACCAAGAGAAGATCATATAGCGTGGAAAGAGTCGATGGAGCCGGAAGCGTCTCCATGAACACTTCCTCTTTGTAATGCAGTGGCTAGTGGGTTATTTATGTCCATTTATATATACAGTTTATGGAAGGATAGGAGATTACACCGTTTTCAACAAGGACCAACAAGTGGAGGTGTCCTGGTAGAGTGATGCTATATTACAGAAATAATTTAAAGTTAATCTAAACCAGACTAATTTAAAAATATCTGAAATCTCTGTAAAATTATTTGATTTCTGTACTTGTCTCTCTGTTTCTAAATAATTCTTTATGGTTTCTGAATAAGTGTAAGTGTGTAGGTGTGTGTAGAAAGTGTAAGTGTGTATATGTGGTGAATTGAAAGAATGGCTGATAAACTCAGAAGTTACAGTAGTACCCATTACTTTAAGATATTTTTGGGGTAAACAGTATTATCAGAAGTGAAATAGGGTGAAGAGTGGGGAGAGACATTCAGCAAACTACTGTAGCCAGGAATCAGTCTTGTGACATTGAACACAGACCCTAGTATAACATGTGCCCCATAGAGTAGAGAGTAGAACTAGTTGCACCAGTTTCATAGTTGTACGCAAATTGGGTGTTTTGGTACTCACCTGAACATAAAACTTGGGCACACTGATGAGAGCATGTGTGATATTTGCGAGGATGGCATTTGAAGGCGGGGGATATAAATATTTTAAAGTGGGGTTTGCCTGAAATTTCAACCTGTAAAAAAAGAAAGAAAATTGTCAGAATTATTCTCTAAACTGCCTTTAAAACACCCTTTCCTCCTCCCTTTAACAACATACATGCCACCGTAATGAATAGCTGCTTCAGGAAGTAAGTGGTTAGCAAGACAGCTTATTCTTAACATGACAAGTGCTCTAGCCAACACAATGTAAAATCCAGCTATTAAGGGGCACTGGGACCATTGTGCCACGTCAGCAGTACCAGCTTGTCTTCACATAATAACTTTCATAAGGCCGAGTACGACACGGGAGAACAAATCTAAATGTACTCTGGTCTAATAAGGTGTGGGCTGAGCAGAACATGAAATTTAACCTGCCACAAGGCTCCACACTGGCGCCGCTGAAAGTACAGAGCCAAAACTATTATTGTAGCTCAATGTGAAATCATATCCAGCTTCCATTTTGATCTGTGTTTGAATTGTTGTGCTATTAGCGGCGCAGTGTATAGGAAAGCTGGCGGTGTTCACTTCAGCTGCAAGTTAGACACCGAACGGAAACTTTGGCTATATAATATTCAGTGTTATTTATTCATTTATCTATTTATTTTTGGTTTAGGTTGTGGTGGGATGACAGAAGTCCATCACAAAACTTTAAGGCTTCAGGCAGCATTTCAAATCTCATTATTTAAATTAGACACATCATATTGTACACCTCAAAGGATGGGGCAATAACAATAATATTGTTTATCGTGATAAAAAGGGTAGAAAATAGTAGTTTGTGGAACAATATAATTGTCAACAAAGATAATCGCCACTGTATTGCGAACATGTGTAGAAAAAAAGCTGCGTATCCATCATGATCTCTGCTAGATCGTACTAGTTTTCCCTTGTAACAAAGTACAATTACATAGAAGTTGTTTATACATAGAACTTACTGATAACATTAAAAATAATCATAGCCATAACATTTTAAAACTGTCAGCAATTTTCATAATTATCGCAATATAAACCTTAATCACAATTCTTTTCGCTATGATAATCGTGACATCAAATTTCAATATTTTCTCATGGCTACACCACAGCTAAAAACTTGTGCAAGGAATTACCATAACTATAGAATTGCATGAAGCTGAGCAGGGCAAATAATCATCTTAAATGTCATCGAGATTGCAGATCGCAATAATTGGCTCAGTATTACACTGAAATGCATTTGTAAATGTCATGGTTAGGGTACACGTGAACGACATTAAAATGAACACATAAGTGCAGAAATATCACATCAGGCTCTTATCTGAAACAAAACAATGCAAGTTTGATTCATTCTTGATTTAAATAAACAGACTTTTACAATAAATTCTAGAAAATATATAACCTAATTTTGCTTGTCTTCAAAACAATTGAGATCTCCCACTCCTTTTACAAAATGACTATCTAATTACTGTGAGTACAGATCACCAATACAGTCTTCAAGTACAGCTACAATTTCACACATTCATAATTGAAAGTACCTTTAGTTCAATACCACACATTTTATAAAAAAGAAAGAGTGGGTGCCAAGATGTATAAACTGTAAAAGAGAGTTGCTACTGGCTGAGATGTTGTCAGTTTCAGAATGAGATGTTTTACAGGCCCTGCTCCTGTCTCCTGCCTCAGACCTGTCAGGTGCTCTCAGAACCCACGCGTCTAATTGGACACAGGAAGGCTGACATCTCCTGACCACCAGCTCCAACTGGGTTAGGTCTGTCAGTTTGCCTCAAGACAGAGCAATGCAAACTCCCTGGAAAGTCTAGGAGGACTGTCCAGTGGAGATCAGATTAACAATGATGTGACGCCTCCCCATCAACACAAGTGAAATGCAGCAGCATTTACAGCAAACAAGCAGCTCTTACCCAAGCTGTGGTGCAATCTCATCTTCTAAAAGAGGAGTACACTGTTTAGGCTCCGGCTTCTTCTCTTCTGTGGTAGTTTTGTCACTGCAAATTGACAATATAAAGCACATTATAAGTCTCAAAGATGATTTGTTTGAACACTGTCTTCAATTATAACCTTGAGTTAATGATTTAATTCCCAATTTTAATTTGAAGTCTGAAAATGTGTTTCTATTTTCTAGTGCTGGTGGGTACCAAGCAGATTATTTTTAGAGATGAATTAGTTTAACAATTCCAATCATTTTCAATTGATTTTTTTATTCTATAGTTTTGTCCTGGTTTGAGCTTGAATTTGTTGTGTTGATAATCATTAGTCATAGTCCTTTTCAGGGTCAGTTAAAGGTTTTGTAGTTTATCTTAGTTTCATTCCAATGATATTTTAGTCTATTTTAAGATAAATTGTTCCTCAGCATTATAATTGCCAAGAAAAGGACTTCAATTTTACGCCATCAAAATAATGTGATGCTTGGGCGCATTATAAATAGTTTTAATCTGTAACTGTAAACATCTAATATAAAATTACAACACTGTAATAGTGAAGCTCTAAGAAGTTTATTACCTGATTTTTGTCACTGGTGGATCTTTTAATACTACAACAGAATCTTGGTTTTTTGCAAACTCTACCACAAGTGTATGACCAAGGACCTCCAACTGATGCAGTCTTGCAAGTGCCTGAAAGGGAACAATGAGGGAAAATAATTAAACATTACAGATTCAATTACTCGTGAAAAACTTTTAACATTAACAAACCTTTGCAGCAAAGGTTTCCGTCTTGAAAGTTGCAAAAGCTGCATTTTTCTGTTTAAAAACAAAAAGTATAAAATCACGCATAAATGTAATATGAATTTTCACATTTTCTAGCATTTTGAACCTACCATACGACCCCTGTTCGGAAATACTCGGACAAACTCGGCTCCAAAATACTTGAGCAGATCCTCTTTCTCGTCTTTGCTCAGTTCGGCGGGAAGGTGTCGTATAAGCAGCGTTTTACTGACATTGGTCTTTGTAGTATCTTCAGTCGTTTCCATTTTAGTGAAATAATTACAAGTTTACAGAAAAGACACCGTTTACGAGTTCACCATCAAGGCAAGAGAAAATAGCAGGTATCATCCACACAAATTCAGCTTCGTGCGCAACAAACGCAGGAAATATCGGGCTTACTAACCTTAGCCCGATATGCATCAACTAACAACATTTGTTTTCGTTATGTTTTGTAGCTTATTCCGTATAATCAGTTGCATTAAACGGCGCTTAAACGAAGTTGTGAATGAATGGGTTTATGCTAAGCTACTGCATCATGCAACGAGGTTTCAAAACAAACCCACTTCCGCTTTTGTCCACTGAAAAATGTGCAACGCTGACACCTTGTGGACAGGAGAGGGACTGCATTCAATTCAATTTAATATGGAATTATTTGTTTAAAAAAAAAAAAAAAAAAAATTCACACATTCTAAATAATTTAATCTAAACACTGGTAATTTAACAGTCTTAGGGAATATAATTAAGCAAATGGGTTTCTGTTTGCTTGTTTTTATTTGTAAGCTATTTTTATTAGTCCATGACATATCCTATATTTCTGGTACATTTTTAAGCAAAAATATCACTTTTTCTTTGTTATTATAGCCGGATATTGCATTGATTTTCTACACAGCCTCTCTTCTCTTTAGTTGAGCCGTATAACCACTAGATGGCATTCTCACCATACAAAATATTGATAACTTCAGGCTTCATTGACTTTGGATAAGACCCCTTGTAACTATATTTTCCTGTTTTTACAATGCATTTAATTAATCATTAGCTTTTGACAGCGTAAGGAGCCATTGATTATAGTTTTATACCGGGGTTTGGCTTAGTTTAACCTACTAAAATTATCATTGTAGCAGCCTGCATGACTAAAAATCTACTCTATGCAATGTATATATGATTTATCTTTTCTTTATTATCATTATCTTATTTAATCTACTTTTGAACACATTTAAAGATCTTCACATTTGCATCTTCACCCCTGACCAGCTCTCTCCTGTGCACTTCTCGAGGTGCCTCCAAATTCCAGGCCAAATGAAGCCTTTTCTTTGAGGAGGGACGAAGGGCATTCCTCATCAGGGGGACACAATACCCCCTTTCAGCGTGGCCCGGCTCTGAAATTTCACAGGTGATGGGAGGAACGGTGGACATCTGATCCTCCAGGCTCCCTCCTCTGGACTCTACCATCAGAGGAGGAGGAGAGATACTGACCAGGAATATGGACACTGCTGGGACAGGAAAGGCCTAGGTTTTGGGTTTCGTTCTGGTGACAAACTTGATCTTGGGTCGTAGTCTGTGGGAAAGGAGACAGTTTAGAAGCATTCGTATCTGTTGAGTTGAGTTGGTCACAAAATTTGAATTACAATTTTCTTCACAACTTTGATTTGATCACAATTCATGTCAACTTACTAACTTTTTGTTGTCTGTTGAACCACCTATTAAAGCTGTCTTCTTGAGAATTATGGCAAAAAAGCTAAAACAAGATAAAAATATGTCTGCTTAAGTAAGTTTAGCTTCATATCCTTCTTCATTTGAGAATTTATACTTTATTGTGATTGGGTAAACCCACCTGTCACTCACTCACAGCATGAAGGCTAACCAAGGAAAAGTAGATCATAAAAGGATTATGATCTGTACAATCTCTACAGTTGGTTGATTGTCACAAGGTCATACCACAATTAAATTTGAGTGTAATTTCCCCAAACTCTGCTATAAACTCCTAAATGAGGGGAAATTTGTTTTGTTTTGTTTTGTTTTTTTTAAATAATGGTTTGGTTAAAGTATTTGGCAAATATGCTGAAGCGATTTTGCCAAAAGTGATGTCCAGACAGTAATGCCGCGGATAGGTGAGAATGATCCACAGTTTGGTGTCCCTGATGCTCTGGCTGACTGTGGGCGGGGCAACCAGGTAGGGGGCGGGGCTTGAAAAAAATGACCTTTCATGTGACATTGGAAAAGTAAATGATGGAAATTTAAGGACAAAATTACTTATTTTTTATTGATTAGTTTTAAAGTCTTTAATAGAGAAGTTACCTCTGTCCCTTACAAAGTACTTGATTTGATCCCAAATCGTGGTTAGCATTTTAATTGTGCATTTTTATCATGGCACATTGTGATACTAGAACTGTGAAGTAGAGCCAAAACAGCAAAAAGGCTACAAAGATCACTATGGTAACAATAACTCACCCTTGGTTAAGTTAATCCATAAAGTATAGTGCTCAACTTGGTCTCGATTTCTCTTGGTTTTGCTCTTTGAAAGCATTCTGTAACTTTTCTGGTGGAGCCATCACTTCTTTGTATCCATGGAAATGATACTGCTTTCTCAGCTGTTCCACAATATGGCATTGAACTTGTCTATTATACACATATTTATTAAATTACAGGGTATTAATTGCAAGGAAAATACCTTGAATACATGCATTCTTACTGTGAGCAGGGTCACATTTTCACATTTCTAACCTGAGTCACCTGCATGTCTCCATGGTAAGAGATGAAAGATAATTTAATGCCATACTGTGGAACATTCCAGGTGGAGTACAATGGAAATGGATCTTCTATCAGAAAAGTTGCGTCGTGCATCTTTGAGTATTCTTTTTGTATACATAAATACATACATATCTTTTCAATAATATCTAGACTAGTCCTGATTTAGTTCTCTGTTCATCCATGAGTTTATCGTTAGTTCTAGTGACAGTCTGTTTATTTAGTCACATTACACTGTAAGCAAACATTTTGTTGGTACACTGGTGGTATCCAAACACCAAGTGATCTATAGTAGCATCCATTCTTCTTCCACTACAGTATTTTTGGAAACTCAACCATAAATAGGTCAGTGGCTCTTTAATAAACAATATAACAGTTCTCTTTGGTTCAGCAGTCCTCTTCTCTCTGGTATTTGGTCCGGAGCAGGTCCACAGACTGGAGCACAGACAGTAAAGTCAGGTCATGGGCAGCTTCTAAAAGGGCTCTTTCATGCTTCCCATCTATGAATGTAGCAGTGAGGCAGCAGCAGTGGTTTGTGTATGTTTCCAATCGCTTTCTACAAAAATATGCAACCATTTTTACAGTATAATGAGCAGAGATAAGACGCCAATGTTTAAACTCTATTGGGAAATGTCACTGAAAGAAAGGGCTGGCAAAGAGGTTCAGTTACTTGCTGTAAGTGACCAAGATGAGCTGTGCACCTACAGTATACAGACTTACACGTAGGGTTCATTTTGACTTTATTTCAAGTACCAATGGGATACAACTAGTGATTATTTTAGTAGTTGACTGCAGGCTTCTGGATGGAGAATGTTTCTGAAGAGAATGCATCATTGATGAAAATAAGAACTCTTTTTGCTATTTTGTTTTAATAATCCAGTTGTCTATGTTATACAAGGTTTTTTGACATGTTCTTTTTAGTTTAGTCCAGTATAGTATAGTAGTATAGTCCAGTTAACAATTATCATTATTAAAATACGATTTAAGGGCCTATGTTACGCTTTTGGATCCATGTTTTAATATTGTTTCCTCATCACAAACATATCTGGAGTTGTGTTTTGTTTCATTCACACATGTTTAACATGTGTTTAAACCCTGCATATTCAGGATTTGAGTTTTTCTCTCAAACAGAAAACACTCTGTTCCACCTTTTTCTGCTCCTGCTCCACTGTATTTTAAACTCCATGCACCTTCACGAGAATCATTTGGATAATTTCAGCTTTTTTCAAGGTAACTTGAAAACTACTGCTTCGTGACATCATGAGGTGGAACAGAGCATTTTGAGCTATGGAGGTGTAGACAGACTAATAATCCTGGATTACTATGAAACAAAACACAACTCCAAGTATGTTTTTGAGAAGGTAACAACATTTCAACATGGCTTAAAGCTCACGAGATTCAGTGTTGTGTAATATAGGAATAATAGTCAATTCACAATCCAAATTTTAACATTTTAAAAATTATTTTATTAAACAAAGTGTCAATACTAGACTTTATAGTATGATAAATGAGATGCTCGCAATAGTTGGGACCTCAAATGACAACAAACCTAATAGATAATAGTCCTATACCTGTATTATGCGCTGAAAAATTGAACTGATGTCTGTCTTAACTTCTATGGAAATCCACTCAAGATTTTCAAGTGTCATTGTCCCATCTCTCTGCAGAGGTCCCAGAAGTGTGCAAGTCATTACTGAAGTCACAACTATCCCTTTGGTAAACATTTAAATAGCCTATTCAAACTATTGACTCACTCTATGTGCTCTTACCAGGCTGGAGGAGGATTCTGAGAGGAGAGAGAAGGACGACCCTGGACTCAAGACTGTTGGCATTCCTCACCAGTCCGAGAGGTGCACTTTGTCAAACACACGCGCACACATACACGTACACACTCATACATACATCTACACATCCACACACACACACACACGTATACACAGGGGTAAAAGGTAGAGCTGGATGGAGCTTTCCAATACAGAGGGGATACAACAGAGATGAAATGCAGTTAGAGTTTGAACTTCTACAACTTAAAACATGTGGAATATTTGTGAAATCTGAAAATGTTTTTGTCATTTGCTTGCATTGTCAAAAACTTAAAGCCATACAATGTAACTTTTTTCCAGTATGGATGTTTTTATTGCTGAAAAACACTGAAAAACATGTGTCCTTGCTCTAAGGGGGGTTGCATCTCCACAAAACTCACTCTTGTTTGACCTGGAGAAGGACCTCCTCCTGCTTGTTTCCATGGAAATGTTGTTCATATGGCTATAATATTCCACAATATGACATAAAACTTTTTATCTACTACTCCATGTTCCACTCCACTTTATATTTCCATTGAATTATCCACCTTCAAACTATCAATTTAATTATATATTTCTTCATATTTTTACAGATACAGGTCAATACATAATAGTATTACAGACATATTAAAATTACTCAACCACTGAATCAATAAATCAATCTACCCCTACTACTACTACTTCTTCTTCTTCTCTTCCCTTGACAATATCCATGGACCTTCTTTGAGCATGTGTGTACCAGCCTTAGCTTAGCCTCACTAGCACTGAATTAAACTCACCTAGAAGCATTTAGAGAATGCAGGCCTTGACCAAGTATTACACAAAGTCCTTACGTCCAGATGGTGTTCTGGATTCACATAAAATGGACCGTTTGGGCAGACAGTTTTTACTCACTGTAACATCGTAGTAACCCATTCACAAGAAACCATGAATGATTGTAGTTTTTGAAGCTATTCCAGCATTGGTCAAACAGAGGCGGGTGAATCCAGATGA